CGCCGGGGGGAAGTATATTGTGTCGGGCTGCGTTCTCCCAGCCGTTGAAATGTGGCACTTGATCATGTTTCTCTTTGGTCTGATTTGCAAGTTATACTTTGATGCTGAGTGGGGCAGAGGGAAGTTTATTTGAATAACCTTGGAGAGCGTGTGCAGGGTGTGTGTGTTCGGAGACTCCGCGCGTTCGTGTCACATGGCTTCCCGACTTCTCCGCTGCAGCCCACAAGCTGATATGCAGTGGGAACACTTTCAAGAGCAGTCCTTTCTTGCTAATTCGTTTTCCCCTGGGCTCGCCAGTGTTTACATACCTCAAGCTCCGTGGCTGGCCTTGAGTCTGCAACTTGTGTTTCTTATTTTCTAAGACTCCTTCCAAGCGGCTTTTCACATTTTCTGCGTCCTTTTGAGCTGATGCTCTTGTTCCATCTCTGTGGGGAGAAGTTTTCAGGACTTTCTCTGTTTTAATCGCTTCTTTCTGGACTGGTTTTCTGTTCCCTCCTATCTTTAGCTCCCACGCATGCTGGTCTGCACAGTGGGAATCTGTGGATAGATTGTTTCTCTCCACCGCACTTAGTGATGAGTGCCCTTGTTCCCCTAGTGTGGATGGCAGCCAGACATTTTGAGGAATTTGGAGTGAGACAAGGAGTTTTCTTTGCTTGTATGTAGTGGCCAGAAGCAATTCCTGCTCATGCTGAGGGATGCATCAAGATAGTGTCACCCTGGCCCTGGCCTAGATTTTACAGAGGAGCAGAAACAGATGTTGCCTTGACAGTAGATTGTGCTCCTCTACCCCTACCAAGGGGATCCCATGAAGAGAGAAAAATGTATGCAGCATGTGCTTTGGAAAAGGATAGATGAGAGGCTGCTCTGCCCTGTTCTCCAGCACTGCACCTGCTTGAGGCTGAGTGGGCTGCTGGAGCCGGCCTGGGACAGACAGGCCACAGGCATGGCCCAGTGCTTGGTCTAGAGCAGCTGTTGTAGATATCTGTTTTTCCCTTGCTTGAAGGTTTTCCTACAACATCTTGACTGAACAGGAACGTAAGATATGTCCTGCTGGGTCAGATCAGGAGCCCAGTGGTTCAAGCCAGCTAGCTCTATCTTCTGTCTCTAGCAGTGGCAATAGGAGGTTCCATGTAAAGAAATCATAGGAGGGGGAGGTTTTCCTTCCCTCCCACCCTAGTGGCTCGGCTTTTCCAATAATAGCAAAAGCAGACATAAAGATTGGTTTGACCTGCATAAGCATGCTCTACAATGAGGAGGAAATGGGAAGTGACTGCCGAGACCTTCGCATCCATCACCAAGAAAAGCACTAGCCAACAACCTGGGCTCTCTCTACGGTCTGCAGGAAATGGAGACAGGCTGTGTGTGCTGGGGAAGTGTTCACCTTGTGCAGGCCCTGCAGCAAGCACCAGCAAGTAGTGACTTTGGCAGAGAAGCCAAGAACACAAGGAGCTTTCTCTGCATTCCCCGAGGGAGGCAGTCTTTAGACTGACAGGTTTGTAGAGCGGACCACTTTGTTCTGTGTTAGGGAAATCACAGAACCGCAGAATGGTTGAGGTTGGAAGGGATCTCTGGAGATCATTTAGTCTAACCGTTCTGCTCAAGCAGGAAATCATGGTTCTCTTGAGCCTTTACCTTTCATAGGTTGTAAATAGACTTTTCTTCCCTTGGAAAAAGAAACTTGGGTTTAAAACAAAGTTAATCAAGATGGCAGTCATCTTTCTCTGCCAGGGTGGCCTCAGCTCTCATCTTAGCCACTGCCATATAAATATCTCAAAGCTGGTGGACTTGCTTCAGATATGTAAGTAAGAGCAGTGTTAGTAAAAGCTTAAGAATAGGATGATGAATTCTTTCCTGAAATTTTGGGTGACTTTGGTCCATGCATGCAACTCAAAAGAAACAAAATGCAAGGAGACAAATTTCTGCAAGGAAGGAGGATGGGTATAATCGATTTGCACTAAGGCTGGGCATCAGCCAGTTGAGGCTGTGGTCCAGAAGACTGTGACCAACGAGAGATTACCTTTCCAAGCCTCTCTCATTAGCTGGAGAGGTATTGACCTGAGACAGAATAGCCTCTTTCTGCTAGTATAATTTACCAGGAGAAGCCCTCTGTCTAAGGTTTTCTCGTGTGAGTTTTGTAGCCTCTTCTTGGTTCGCTTTGCTGGCTGTCATGGTGACACACAATGTGAGAAAGATAGATAAATAGTGTGAATACCACATAGGCAGTGAACTTCCTGAGTGACAGCTATGGGCCACAAGGCCTACTCAGGAAAATAAAACCAGAATAAAAAAACCCAACCAACTTAGCTATATTAATAATTTCCTTCTGGTCTTGGAGATAGCGAGTTG